GTTTATCACCCAATACCTACAAAACAAAGTAATTACATTTAACCTTAAGGGGGGGACATGGATGACAGTACCAAATGTCAAGGTAACTCAAAGAACAGCGGTTAAAATAACAGCTAAGTAAAAGGCCAAAAATACTGTCTGCAGTGAAAAAGACAGGTTCATGTAGCTGTCAGCAGCAGCAACTGCAGTGACAGTGATGCACAGCTCATGGAGGCATTAAAGTAGGCATCCATAAAGCCTTTAGCACCGATGATTTAGATTCATTGTGACAAACCTTCTTAGGATCTTATTACAGTATCTCTGATCTCTTTCTCAAGTAAATGCCTATAAACCGCTTAGAACTCATAAAGACACTCTCTATAAGCCCAGAAGTTGCCTGAGAATCATCAAGTTTCACAGATTTCTTCAGTATTTGAGTGAATCAGTTTTCGTAACATCCATAACAGACAACCCCCCCACTACTTTTATGGCAACTGTCATTTATTCTCATGTCTCCTTAGGGTGGGTTTTTAGCCTAGCAATTAGTTGAACCTAATAAGAAATTATACTACCAGCTACTGCATAAGACATGTATTCAGTTATCTAAAGGATACTGCATATGAAATGATCCACTATTTTATTATGGTAGCTAATAAGAAGAGTCTTTGTTGGGGGCAGGATATTTAAAATTTTTAAATAGAACGCGGTAGTAATGAGCCCTAAAACCTGGAACCGAGTTACCATCTTCCGGTTCCCTCAAGTCAGTGGGTTTCTTGAATTGGTTTTTTTGTTAGATGGCTGAAATAAGCTTAACACAATGCCAATGCGTTTTCACGTTTCGTTCTATGAACTAAAATACACCAGTAAATATCCCGCTCATGATGTTTTTAATGGTTTTACATGTCTTAAGAAAGGCAGTTGCTAACAAGTGGCTAAGTCAGACTACACAGGCTGTCTGGGATATAAAATATCATCACGATGAACACGGAGACTCATCTACTCACTACTCGACTTTTACAGCCTTGATATGTTTAATTTCAGGTGATGCTCATGTCCGGGTTGGACGTCGTCCCTACGGCACTCTATTAAGACCTATGAGAGCTTATTGTTTCAGCAGGGAAATACAGGAAGTGTTAAGTATCAGCTGTAACAGATGCAGATCAGTCACATCTGGCCAAAACTCTATCCACTTAACCGTACTAAGGTCAGTACATATATCTGGACCTGTACATGCATCCATGTGGTCGGTTCCAGTCTAGCAACACCTCCAGGTGAAAATGAGAAACACTATCAACACTTCGAGCCCAGAGTCACTCTGTTGTTTAATATTTGATCAAATCTGGTAAATTAAAACAACCATTATTATTATTTTTACAAAAGAAAGACACACAATGAAACCCCACAACGCTCCAAAGGAGAATGTGCTTCCAAACAATGAACATCAACTTTTCACTCAGGAGGGGGGCATAAAGAGTCCCCTCACAACGCAGCACGGCTCCCACTGCTCAGCATCATTCACAAATAATGGCCTATTTACATAGCTTGGCATATCAAGGAGGTGTCAAACAAAAGCCACGGTGGCCATCAATAATTCAATAACACAAGCTAAAAGGTCAAAAAAACTAAATGCATTTTAATGATTTGCAAATTCGCTGACTATGCACGGCTCACTGTTGGCGACTGGCGTTTGGTGTGTGCCACAGATAAAACAGACAGGACTGCAAATTTAATGCAAAGAAGTTGTCTTTTGTTTTCAAACATTTAGTCTTTTTCTGAAGAAAGACCAACTGAAAAAAAAGCCTAGTAGCAGCACTGGCGTATGTGCCTCTAACCTTAATGCTATGAATTTGTAATAACCTCTAGGAAAATTACTCTCTAGTGTTTTTTGTGCCTTTTTTCAATTGTGCCCTACAAGTCCTATTAGTCTTATGTGATGGCCTGAGCCAGTCTCCGTTCACATGAGGTTAGGTTTCCAATTTACTTGTCTGGTTGCAGTAGTAAAAAGCTAAAGACAATACATATCTTCTGTACAGTTTTCACATCTTAGCAGCATTTGGACAAAATCTAGATGCTGCAAAATTCAAAAGACTGTCATTTAAAAACACAAAAGCGCTTCGGGGAGAGGAGCTGTCTGGAATGACTTTTGTCATTTTATGTGTTATGCTGTTTGTGCTGCGTCTGCCAGCTTGTGGTTGTTAAGGATTGCCATTACCATTTCAATTTGTTTCAGCTGCTCTATTTAATTGCATACAGGGCCTGTTGTGATGATACCCAGGCCGCTGCCGCACTGTTGTTCTCATTAGCCGAGTGTCATTAGATGCATGTGAATAAATCTAATCTAGTCCAAGTAATTACTGTTGGTTTACTATAAAAATCCAGTTTTTTTATTTCTGTTGAGACACTTTCTCTGTTTATGGCACATTCATAAAACCAAGCACTGTTTAATGTAGACACTGCAATAGAAAAGTAAAGCCAGGCAACATTTCATTATATTTTCTCTTGGAATTTCACATCAGATGGCCGACTATTTGCATCATCATTTAGTCACATTAGACTTGCCAGCTTTTCCTGCCCAGCCCATTTGTTAGAGCAGCTGTGCAGACAGGAACCAGCTGCTGACATCCAAGAGTTTGGAGAAATTTCCTTCAGTCAGATTTATGAAACTATGAACAAGATCTTAATGAGCAGCGATTTGATCACAGATTAGACTGAGCATATATGCAGGTCAAATGGAACACATGGAAAACATCTGTCTATGGTGGTCATTTCTGAAAGGAAGTGTGTATTGTGCACAGGCTTGAGGTGCTATGAAAAGAATCCCATCCATGCACCTGGCAACAAAATGGACTTGGCTGATCAACATCCTGTCCATACAATCAGTCTTCTTGACAGAACATTTGCACATTTTCATGCTCATTGAACAGCAAACTGTAAAAGCCACCTACCTAAACAAATCACCAATCCTGGTTGTAGCCCTAAAGCATGACTCTGATGTGGATGATGCTGCTGCATTTTCCTCAGCAAGTTCAATAAATGACAAATACATCCAGAGGGCCTGCTTTTAACACATTTCTCCACAGGACACACAAGACAATATAACTCTAAATCAATGACCGGCTGCATTGAAAGCAGCAGCCCTGGTGCACTAAATCCAAAAGCATTTTCTGGCCAGGACTGAAAGTTCAATACAACCTGCTAAAAAGATTTCCTAAACCGTCTCTTGCATAATGTGCAGCTAAAAAAGAACTTCATCTATTTTTTTTTACATAATTCATTTCTCAGTCCCCAAATATACTATAAAGGATTACAGGATAAATTCTCCCACAGTATTAAAAATTTGAAATCAACTGTGAAAATAAAAAAATCCTCAATCTAATTAGCATTCCTCCATCTCCGAGACAGAAATGCAGTAAACCAAGCACTTTCACATAAAATAACCTAAGTCCAATATTAGATAAAGAAGGGGGGAAGATTATATTGGGCAGTATAAGAAACAAAGTTAGGAACTGCAAGCTTCTGCAAACACAAGACATTTATGCTGCGATACTGTTCGATTAACCAGCCTTGATCTGTTTGGAGAAGCTGCTTATGTTGTATTGGAGGGAAACGTCAGCTGTAAACCTGTTTATGCCAGATTTTATCATCAGCTCTTTGTATGATAAATCCTCTACAGAGAATTAATAATCACAGAAAAGAGTGAAAATCCACAAAAGATAGAACTGCAATGTCTATGTTTGTCCAAAACAGCGTGCAGGCTTTTACCTCTGCAACTCAGACATAAGTCGCCATAATCAATATCAATTCAATGAATTTCATACAGCTGTGCTAATAGGAAGCCTCCATATGGTGCTCCTTATCGGGTAAATTTTCATAATTAGCCTTTAAGCTGCTTATTCTGTCCCATGGAAATTAGATACATTAAAAGGGTTTAGCAGACTTGGTAATCATCACAGGCATGGGGGAAAACTGCATCAGGCAAGAGAGCACGCGTTACCAGATTCAAATCATCACAATCACACAGGGTAGAAAATCTCCCACTCTGTGCTTCAAGCCACAACCAGAAAAGACAAAACAGGTGACAAAACACCTGATGCCAGCTGCTCATTGGACTACAGCCAGAGAAGCAATATGGTCACATCACCATGCCTGAGAAACAACAGGTGAGTACTTTTGACCGAAAAGATGTTCAACATTTCCAGGGTCAAAACAAAAGAGAAGCAGGTTATGCAGACACATAATACTGACACCAATTAGTTGTGCTGTAAATCAATCTACTAAAAAAAAGAGAACATATACCTTTACCTGAAATTGTAAAGATGAAAACCAAGTAAACTAGTAAAATGAGAGCTGCTTCATAAACTAAACTACAGAGATCCGAGACACACAAGCTTCACATAAGCAGTTCAAGCTACAGTGCAAGTGTAACATGTGAAATCTGACAATAGTGTACTAAAAAAAAAGCCATTGGGACAATGTGATACTTTTCTCAAGCAGCATTCGAGTCAGCAGGCACTACAGCTACCTGCAGCTTTATCCCATACCTCAGCATGTGTTCAGTACGTGGGCTCATATCTACTGCAGATACCTACATACCTGTGCTATTCCTACTTTATTGAGTACAACAGGAGAGTTCATATATTGCACAGAGAAATATGGGCCTCTGATTCCATCATAGGAGAAGAAAAGAGGAAATAAAATCACTGTTCTTGGACCAAGTACATCAAGTGTTCCAACCAAGGCCGTTTCCGTCGTAACACAAACCGCCATGTGTCTGGATTACTGCGCAGTGTCTTACAGAGAGGCCCATGTTTATGTGAATTCATGTAGGAGTGTGGCTTCCTTTACAATAACACAGGGCAAGACCGATAGAGACAGTGACAAACAGCGGGTGGTAGTGACAATCTGTCCAGTTCTTCTGTAGGCGCTTGATGGAAGAAAAGGCTGAGCCTGACAATCAACCTGTGGCAACTGGGCTACGGCTTTGAGAAATAGCAGACTGTCACACATAGTTGGAGGCTTACCCCGCATGGCTGGAAGATAAGCCCATCGACTTCATGGCTGACCTGGGATGTAAAGCTGCCTTCCAGTAGCTGAAAAATACACACACACAAAAAAAAAGGAGGACAGCGTTTCAGCCAAGCAAAACTTATAAATGACAAGATAGACAGCTGAAAGCTTTACACATGAAATGACATGGATGTAGTTTTCAGCTACATCTAGGTCTGCCTACAATACCTTACCCTCTAAAATAAAAGGAAAATACTGACTTTGAACATAACCAGAAGGCTGGGCCTTCACCGGACACATCCTGCAGAGTTAACATGAGCACAAATCTGATATCAATCTAACCCCACCCTAGGAACTAATCTTTTTGATTGATAATGTATGACAGAGATCAATAACTGTAACATGGCAGACCAGGTTAAAGACGGGAACGGCAACAAATTAAGTTACTGATAACTGGAACGAGTGGATTTCATCTCCTCTGTTAACACCAAGCACCACGGGTGTGGCAGAGAAAAGACGCACGCCCAGGGAACATGGCGGATGTACAATAAAGCCACATTTTCTGCACCGTGAAGCATTTTAACAGCCGCGGCACCTGCAGCAAAAATATCACAAGCACTAAAATAAGGCTGAATATAATAGCTGCATATTACAATTGAAGCTCAGGCGGCTATGTGAACAGTTAACAGACCTTAGATAAAATATACATGGAAAAAATATTAAAGGCTTGGTTGGGGTTTAATTCAAAATACTGTGTCAAAAAAAGAGAAGCTAAATTGACTTGCATGCTTTTGTGTGCAGACTTAGAGAAGATGCCAGGCAGACTTAGGTCCAACTTCAGCGATATTTGAAAATGCAAGAACCTGGAATGCTAGACGTTCAAATCAATGTTGTTAACACAAGATACAGGATGAAAATGCAACTGCACGGTAACTGAACCGTGTCGCTTTCACCAAAATAAAACTGTGACTGCAGTTTAATGTGATATTGTGTTTTCTGTCATGGACTAAGAATCTGAAGTGAGTTTATTTCCATGCTGTGCTGGTATGGAGAGAAAACTGATGCTGTGTGGAAGGGAATCAATCTAAATCAATCCAAAAACATATCATATACCCTGGAAAACATTTGGCTGTAATGTGATACCAACTGCCAAATCTAATGTGTGACTGTACATAAATACATAAAGCAGAGTCTGATGTAAGCTTAGGCAAAATAACAGACTGCAGAATCACTGTCGATCGTAGATTGCCAAATCAGAACTAGGGCTCAGAACCAAAGCAGGTCAGTGCAAAAATATGGATTTATGCTTCTATAGCTACAACAACCTATATTTTTGTTAAGAGTCTGTAGTGATTTAAAGAAAATGAGGATGAGTCACTGGCCATCACATGCTCATTATCACCATCTTGTACAGTTCGGTCCAAGGAAGTATTTATTGAAATCTTAGATGCAAAAACTGATCTTCGCCATTCTGTACGTTCATGCAAGAAGGTAAATGTGTTTAGGCTAGCAGAAAACTGCCCTGGTCAATAAAATAGAAAGCACATGCATTAGGACACTACAGTGGGTATCAGGTATCATATCCAACCCATCAAGACTTTGACATGCAGGAAGGTACTGAAAGGTGGAACAACAACACTGCACTTAGAGCCACATTTTATATCATACTGTACAGTTGCTTCATAAAGTGCTCACACCCCTTCACCTTTTGTACTGGGTTTGGTGAAGCCTTGCTGACCAGAGTTCCCTAAATGTAGAGCATAGGTTTTAACAGAGTAAAATACCCTTTGTCTGTTAAACATATAATTCTACCAGTAGATGATTTCAAACTTCCACTCAGTACTTTGATGTTAAGCATCACAATTTTTCCAAACACTGTGTTCAAGCAAGTTAAGTGCAGAACGCTGCATACATTTACATAGAGGAATAGAAAACTGTTGATGCTCTGCTGTATCTGCATAGAAAGCATAAGCAAACATCGGTGCTCCCTAGAATAATGAATGAGTCACAGAAGATCACACAAAGCTCAACAATCATGCTGACATGGAGAAGGCAGATAGCCAGACTCAAAAGAACTGGTGTCTTTATGAGGGAACGGCATGTAGGCGGCAAGATCTGGGAGTTCCATTTGAGTTCTTTTGCCATCTTAGCACACCCACCCACCAGCTTCGACAAGCACTGTGAACCCTGGATGGAAAGATGAGCAGAAAGACTTCCACTCACATCCTTTGTACTGTAAGGAAGTTCCTTGGAGCAATAATGCAGAAAAGGGGGCAGCAACCCTTCTTTCATGGTAAACCTTTAGGAAGGAAACATAAAGCCGCGGACTGGGACAGTAGGGCTGTGCAGGTGGAGGCGAACAGCAAAGCCCCATTAAGAGATCGAGCTTTCATTGTACACTCCAGGGCAGAGACGGAACAGAAACACTTGGGGAGACTAATCAACCACTAATATGCAAAAGTCAGACCATTTTCCTCTCCAGTGTTTCATGTTTGGGCTCATTTTACAAAAAGGACACAATGATAAATGCTATCTAGCTGGCTGGCTATTAGCCCGATGCCACTGTAATGACATGAAGAATGTTTTTCACTTTCACTCTTATTTAGTGTAGTCCGTCTTCTGTAGAGCAAATGCTGACTTTTAGCAGCCAGCTGCCATCACTTCTACCGTCGTTACCTCAGAGAATCATAGTTCAAATGGCATTAGTCTGTCAACTAACAGAAAAAAGAAAAATGCTCAAAAGTTATTTTTGTTTGTTATTTTCTGACATTAGTATTGAATTTAGGTAAATCCTGGCTGACTCAACTGTAAACAAAGGATATGATTTAAAAAGTATTACAGCCTACAAGCCATTGCCTGAGGGGATTTTTCTACACTGAATCATAATTGTGGTTAAGCTTTTTTTTTTTTTTATTGTTTTAAGTCAATCTTTAGCTTTTATAGCTTTTTTCTACTGCATTTCTATTTTATTCTTTTTTTGAGCATCCCATGTGGGAAAATTACACTTTTGATCATTATAATTATCAAGATAAATACAAATGATATGACACAATCAAAATAAGTTTGGAGAACACAACTGACACTAATATACTCCTCCAATTTCATTCATTTCAACAACTTGTGTCAATAATTGGCATGTATGTATTTACAGTCTATTACTATGCAGAATGTATGCAAGCAGCACAATACTCTCATTAACAAAGCAGTCCTGTGGCCTCTTTTTTGTGCAGTATATCACAGGCTTTTCCTCATCACACCTGGACTGTCATTATGCGCTTTGTATTTTCCTAATATCTGCTCATCCCCATTGCTCCAAGGAGGTTTAGATGAGGGGACTGAATCAAAGGCGGAGAGGATCGATTGATATTCTGGTCAGATCCACAAGGCTGTTGCTGGAGGCTCCTTTCAAACCTAAAGTGAACGGCCCTCTGAAGCGTTTCAGTGTACACTGCACTATTAAACGAAAAGCCCACATCAGTGTGTGTGGGCAAGGCTGCTAAACCACTGGCTGGCCCATATTCAAAACAAGGCTACACAGTCTGGAGAAGTTAAACGTCTTAGAAAATGTGTCTTTTGATGGATCCTGGTCATTCTGTAAAAGCCATATTCATATGTGGTGACAGCAAAAAGATGGAGAGGGACATTAACAACTTTCTGGCATTGTCTACACATGTTGGGTCTTCTGGAGAAGCACTGAAATGGGTCTGTTTTCAGACTTCTCAGCTTCCAAAAACAACACCATAAATAACCATCCAGAAAACTAAAAGAGTTATCATGCCAGGGAGATGGGGCTTTCACCAGTTTAAGTCTGTGCTGAAGATATACCACTGCTGGTTATATCACAGGTCTGTCTCTGGGAAAGAAAAGATAAACCAATTACAACAAACACACAGCAGTGCTCAGCACAGCCCACACACTCAGACACATTCAGTCATATTCATAAAGACAACAGACAGGGAGTCAGTGTGAAGAGGCAACAACCGGGATTCAACCGGTTACTGGGCTCCAAAAGCAAGCTGCTTTATCTGTGCATTCAAAGCTACAGTGGAAGAGGAGAAGATGACTGTGTGTCCTGTAGGGGTGTGCTGTGATGTCAAATCTGCAGCAGTGGAGAACAGCATCATCTCTGCTGCAGCATTACTACTGGAGAGAGGCAGTGTTATGTAAAAACAGACACAGGTCTGTTGAAACAAGTTCTTTTCTTCACCCCACCAGAGCTGACTGATGTTTTGTAAAGTGCTACTGAGCTGCGCTTGTTTGTTAATGCCAGATTTCAGTGCTGAGCTTCACTCCACGCTGTTGGTAATGGGCTACAAAGTATTCACACAGTCCTTCAACACGTACACCATACTCATCTTTCAAACCTCTTTACCGAGTCATTAAAATGTGCTCAAGTGATTTCCTTTCCTGAAGATGAACTAACATTACAAGATAACTCTGGAATTGGATTAGAAGTTACTTGACACAGAGGCGTCAATTTGTGAAGTTGGGTGAATACCAATCGAGTGAGCTGGACATTGTATGTGGAGTGCCTCAGGGTTCTGTTTTGGGACCTAAATTATTTATACTATATATTAATGATATATGCAAGGTTTCTGATTTAGTGAAAGTGGTTTTGTTTGCTGATGACACTACCATATGGGCATCGGGTGAAAACCTACAGCAACTCTCTGGACGGGTTTCACAGGAACTTGAGAAGATAAAGAAATGGTGTGACAGTAATATACTATCTCTGAATTTGAATAAAACTAAATTTATGGTATTTGGGAATCGTAGACTAGATAATGAACTTCAATTGAAAATTGGGGGAGCTAATATAGAACAAGTACATGAAATTAAATTTCTAGGTGTCATAGTTGATGACTAATTCTCCTGGAAATCTCATATCAGATATGTTCAGCACAAAATAGCAAAAAATATATCGATATTGGCAAGGGTTAGATATATTTTGGACGGGAAAGCACTACGCATTTTGTATTCTTCATTGATTCTACCATACTTAGAGTATGGCGTTGAAAACTGGGGAAATACATACAAAAGCTCACTTCAACCATTGTATATATTACAAAAAAGAGCGATAAGA